TGGTCTGGAGCCACGGCTGTGGCTTTGCAGCCTGCCTTGGGGCTGAATTCCTGCACAGTGCTTGGCTCCAGTATGGAGGAGGGCTTTTTGTCGTGGTGCTGGACAGGGCTGTGAGAACAGGCTGCTATTCTTCACCCAGCAGCTGGGGCTGGCAAGAGGGGGCGAAAGCTGGCATGCTGATCCCTCGTTGGTAGGGCTGTGCCCACAACAGTGTTTGGAACCACTGCTCCCCTCCTGCCAGCTCTGCCTTACAGTCAGGGAGTGTTTCCCAGTGGGAAGCCACGGCCCTGTGCAGTCAGCAGTCAGCATAGGGCAGCACTGCTGGAATCCAGAGGGCCTTGGGGATGCTGCAGTTGCTGCTGGACAGCTGGGAGTTGCGATCTTGAACTGCAAAGACGTGGATGGGGAAGGGAGCTGTTGGACAGCTGGGGTGCAGACCACAGCTGGGTTCCCTGCAGACTGCAAGCAGAGCGTGGCTATGCGAGCACCCAGCAGAGCCGCAGGCAAACGAACAGGGTGTTGCGTTCTGTACGTTGGTGTCAATTATTTAGATTTCGTTTACTTACAAACTGCAGACCCATAAATAACAGCGGTGAGTGCCTCTTGTCGGGCTGCTGCAGGCATGGATAAGTGTATAATTTACAGATAATACTCCTTTCTCTGGGTTAGGGCTTTTGTAATACACTTAGTTGAGTGGAGGAGCAGCCAGCTAATGGGAAAGAAATCAGTGCAGGCCCCCAGAGACGTTCCCTTTGCCTGGAGAGGTCTGGACTGCAGGAAGCAGGATGTCCCCACAGTGGGGTTTGCTTGTCTGCCAGCAGCTGCAGTCCAACAGAGCAGCTCCAGAGCTGCATCTTCTCCCAAGCCTGGTCCCAGTGGATCAGTGCAGCTGGGGGGACAGTGTTCCTTGAGCACGTGGAGCGGATCTCTGGGTATCTCTAGCTCGGTTCATTTGATCAAGGTGGCATCCTTGAAGTCTTGAAAGCTGTTTGCCATGATGTGACAGTCTGGGTTAGTTACGGAGAATGATTTTTATGACTTCAGGTAATGAAGGATGCTGCTCCAGAGCTGAACGTGAGCAGCTCAGAAGCTGAAGAGGAAAGGGAGGAAAACAAGCCAGAGGGGGAGCAAGACCCAGATTTTAACCAGGTAGAGATCAAAACACTGTGAGGTTCCTCCACTCTGCACCAGCCTCTTTGAGTCAGTGTGATGGAACAGCTCTCCTCTGTTTGCATCTTATGGGACAAAGGGAAAGCAGTGTCCCATCCTGGTGGTCATACCACACGTTTTGTCTCCATTTGCATTACTGGGGCTGGTTTTGTGCCTGCACTCTTTGGTTTTAAAGCCAACTAAGTTGAAGCCTCTGCTCAGAGACCTGCCCACTTGATGCTTGGGTCACCCCGACTCCTCTTATTTCTAATGATATGTCCCAAATGAAGGGATACTGGGGGCTGTGCCTCCTGGCACCAGGGCACTGCCGTGCTGTATCATGGTGCAGATGACACCATGGTGCAGAGGAGGGATCATTGCAACATCAGGATAAGCTCAGTGCTGGTGCTAGAAGCAGGAATTGAAGTTTCTTTGGTCCTCCTATACTCCTGGTGGTATTGCATGGGTCGGGTGTTCCCCTGGGGCAGTGCTGCAGCCTGGGAGGGAGCTGTGAGCAGTGCAGTGCCCACGGCTGAGCTCCTCGTGCCTGGCTTTCTTTCAGAGCAATGGCGGTGCAAAGCGCCAGAAGCTTTCACACCAGAGCTACATCTCCTACCAAAAGCAGGGCATCCGGCGGAGCACCCGGCACCGGAAGGTCAGAGGAGAGAAAGCACTGCTCGTTTCTGCTAACCAGACATTGAAAGAGCTGAAAATACAGGTAAGGCGGTCTTGCTGCAAGAAACGTGTCTTCTGGAATAAAAAACCCATGAAATTAATAGTCAGGAGAGTGCAGCTGGGAGGAGATGGAGGGAAGAGTTTGAATCCCCAGTGGCGGTGGAGGCATGTGTGTGTGTGCTGCACGCGGTCTTTTTGTGTAGCTCAGCAGTATGTTTTTTCCTCCGCACAAAACCAGCGTGTCTCATTGTGTTGGCACAGATCATGCATGCATTTTCAGTTGCTCCCTTCGACCAGAACTTGTCGATCAATGGGAAGATCCTGAGCGACGACACGGCGACGCTCGGCAGCCTGGGCGTCATCCCCGAGTCCGTCATCCTGCTCAAGGTAAGGCAGGAGCAGCGCAGCTCTGGGAGGAAGGAAAGCAGAGAGCTGAAGTGCTTTGCTGAGTTCTTCCCTTGCGGCTTTTTGGGGAAGGAAGAGCCTCCTTAAGGAGTGTGACCCCATGCAGCTCTGCCAGTGCTTGCTAACCCTGTCTGCTTTGCTTTCCAGGCTGATGAACCAATTGCGGATTATGCAGCGATGGACGATGTGATGCAAGGTGAGGGAGGGGACCCCTGTGTGCTTGGGAGGGAGGTCTGAGATCTGGGAGGCTGCCTTGCTGCCGTGCTTCTGGCAGGAATATGGTGGCTGCACAGGGCTGTGTTGGCTTTGGGTTGAAACGTGAGGGGAAAATTGAGATGTTGAAGCTTTCCTGTGGCTGTCGGCTGGAGGTACAGCTGAGTGCCGCAGCGCGCTGCGCTCACACAAAGGATCCTTTTAGAAGTGACTGTCAGGAGACTTCTAACATGATGCCACTCTCTTCCCATTTCCAGTTTGTATGCCTGAAGAAGGATTTAAAGGTGAGAATCTTCCCCTCCCCCCCGTTACTGAAGCCCACGCTGACTTCAGCTCTGCCTCGCCAGTGCTGTAACTGTCGGGTGGTTGTCTCCTGTCTCCTTGCTCCCAGGGACTGGCTTACTCGGACACTGATGGCTTTACAAGCACTGGCAGACCAGAAGAGAAGAGGATTTGACATGGTAGGGCATTTAGAGAGAAGGTGGATACGGGACTGAACTCTTGACTCTTCCAGAAGGCAGAATCCCATTCTGAAATGACTGCCCCCAAAATGCCTTATGTCAAAGCAGATTGCACTGAAGGACATCCTGACTTCAAGAGAAAGTTCCCCATTTTATATTTAATAAAGCAACAGTAGGGTTGGAAAGTGTAGCAGCAGAGGCAGCGTGTGCCAGGTTCAGGCAGATGTTTCCAGCAGGGGAGGCGGGGGCATCATCTGTCCCAAAAGGAGTTGTGATGCAGTAGATCAAAACCATCTCGATCTGTTCTCCGGTAACTCTTTAGGCATAACCTGCTTCCAGATAATCCCCTCTTTGATCCACTATTCCTCTTTCAGTACAGCATGAAAGTAAAGAAATTGTTCGTTGTGAGGAATGTCTTCATCCATTTCCCTGCAGTGTGAGCCCTGTGCTCCCAGGGCTGGGCTGCCCTCACTGCACCGCTCGCCTTTGCAGCTTCACTTCCAGATGCGACTGCTCCAAATAACCTCACGGTCTCTCTGTGAACTGTGTTTTTAGAAACGTGGGCTGTTTTAATGACTTTTGATAACATCTTTCTCTGGTCCTTTACTGCCAAGAGCCCTCTGCCCCTCGCTTTGGATCCACTGGGGCTGCGTGGGTCCCTGGTGAGAGGTTTTCCCTCTGTTCTTGTTTTCAGGAATGCACTAATTATTTTTTTTTTTACATCTTCAGCTCCCAGAAAGGATCTCTCCCACTCCCCAGTTGCGTGTTTGTAGCAGGAGCTAGTGTACCACTTCCAGACTTGAGGGGGAAAAAAAAGGGGGGGGGGGGCACTGTTGAGGTATCTTCATAATAAAGTTAGACATTTCCCGTTCTGTCAGAGGTTTGTGGCCGCTGCTCTGGGCACCCTGCTCTCCCTGGGGCCTGCAGCCTTCCTGCCTGTTGGCACCCACTGCTTTCCTTGAGTGCAGCCTACGTGCTCCCGTGCCCTTGGCCAGGCGATGCTTGGCAGCCCTTCTCTAGCAGATGCAGTGCTGGCTTGTGCTGCAGGACAGAACTGCCCACATCCCTGCGTGCCTCCAGCCCGGGCAGCTGTGGGGCTGAGCGCTCGGTGTTCCCGTGCTGGCACTGGGCCCTAGGAGTGCTCCCTGGGGGCAGCAGCTTGGTGTCAGCCCCCAGCACCTGCTGTGCAGCAGTTTGTGCCAGCCCTTCCCCAAGTCACTGCCTCCCTTCTGCAGCCCCAGTCGTGGCTCTGGAGGATGCTGTGGGTCCTGGGGGACACCCAGGGTGTGGGGGCAGATGGATGAATGGACTCTGGGCTCCAGGGATGGGAGATTAAATGGACAGATAGAATCACTGGACACCAGAGTTGGGAAGTTGAATGGGTGGTGGGACAGACAGGTGGACTCGCTCAGGCACCAGGGGTAGGAGAATGGGTGGATGGGAGGATGGGTAGACAGACTCACTCTGGGCACTAGGGATGGACTGATGGATATATGGACTCACTCTGGACAGCAGGGATGAGAGGACAGATGAATGGATGGGAGGATGGAAAGAGGGGCAGACAGATGGACTCAGTCTGGGCACCAGGGATGGGAGAATGGACAGATTGGAGGACGGATGGATAGATGGACTCACTCTGGGCATTTAGGGATTGGAGGAAGGATGGATGGGCACAGATGGATTCTGGACACCAGGGGTGGAAGGATGGATAGATGGACAGACAGGCAAATGGACTCACTCTGTCCCCAGGGACGGGGGGATAAATGTGGAAGCGCTGTGGGTACCGAGGGTGGGAGGACGGGGGTAGCCTGGCTGCTCAAGGTGGGGAGCGCGGTGGCACTCCGTACACGGACGGACAGACGGATGGAGGGGACGCTGAGTGCCCGGGCGGAGGGGATGGGGCCAATGGGTCCCGCTTCCCGCTGCCCATCCCCATTCCCCCCCGCGGGTCCGCTGCCGGTTACGGAGGCGTTTGCTCCGCCCCTGGGTCCGGGATGGCGGTGCCCGGTGCCGGTGCCCGGTTCCGGTACCATTCCCGGTGCCGGCCGCCCCCGTGCGGGCCGCCCCGCCCCGCTGCACGTGACGCGGCGCGGCGGCTGCGAGCGGTGGGGCCCCGCGTCGCTGCGCTCCGGTACCGGTACCGACCCGGCCCCGCGCCGCTCAGCTCTGCTCCCGCCGCCCCCGGTAAGCGCCGCGCAGTCCCCCCCCCGGGGCTGCCACTACCGCCGGTGTCCCCGGGGCCGCGCAGCAGCGTGGGGGGCCGGGCCGGGCCCGTGACCTTCAGCCGCTGCCGGTACCGGGAGGAGGTGGGGGGTCTGGGGGTGGGGGTGGGGGGCGTCAGCCCCTATGTGTCCCCAAACCTCCCCAGTATGTACCCTACAAATTGCCTCCCCCCTTTTACCCCCAAACCTGCTCCCCCTCCCTTCTCCCCTCTCCGCCCCCCATCTCGGCCCCATATTCCACCCCCCCAACCATATCCCTGCAATCTGCCCTCCTTGTTACCCCCAGTCCCCGTCCTGGCCCCACATTTGGGTGTCTCCCCCTCCCCCCCACTTCCAGAACGGCCCCATGGATGGCTGAGGGGGAGGTGCACCCCGCGGGCTTTGCACGGGGCCGGGGGGGGGTTGCGCTTTTTGCACGGGCCGTCGGTCGGGCTGCGCTGCACGCGGGGTCCCCGCCGCTGTCCGTGGTGCTGCCCCGCACCGCTCCCGCCCGCCCGCAGAGGGCGCCCCGTGGGGGTTGGGGGTTGGACGGTCGCATTCCTGGGGAGGGGACGGTGATGGTTTCCCCCCGCAGCCGGACACCACCAGGGGGCAGCTCCTAGCACCCCGTTTCCCCCAAGGCAGCGCCACGATGGACCCCCCCGGCCCCTCCCCGGCCAGCTAGCTGCGTCCCGCAGGCACCGCCACCCCTAGGTGAGTTGTCCCCTCCCCTGGGTGACCTCCCGGCACCGGAATGGATCACACAGCCCCGGTGCCCCCGTGCCCCATGGCCATGTCCCGCAGGCAACAGTATGGCCCAGCAGCACCGCACCGTGCCCCCCCCGCTCAAGGTATGTGCCAACAAGGGCGGTTGGGGGGGGGTCATACAGCACTCAAGAGTTCCAGAAGGGCTTCACCCCCCCCCCACTGCCTTGCAGACAGAGGAGGACTACATCCCATACCCCAGTGTGCACGAGGTAGTGTGGCCATGCTTTCCAGTTTGGTGAGGTTGGGTGGGTGGGGGTCGGGGGGCACCCAGCTCAGCTGTGGGTGCAGGTGCTGGGCCGGGAAGGGCCGTTCCCCCTCATCCTGCTACCACAATTCGGGGGCTACTGGATCGAGGGCACCAACCACCAGCTGAGCGGGGCCCCCGAGCCTCCCCTGAACCCAGCACCCGGCACCCGCGTGCGGCTGGAGGGCAACCACACGGCCAAGATCTACCGCAAGCACTTCCTGGGCAAGGTGGGCACTGGGGAGCACATCCCTGTCAGTGTGCATGGGTACAGGGGTCCTGTAAGCGTGGGTGCACGTGGGGATGGACACTGATGGACATGGGGGACCAATGGCACGGGTGCTCATGGATGGGGTTCTTCATGCAGATGCGTGTGCATGGTGATGGAGACCCCAGAAGTGTGGGTGCTCAGCAGGGGTGGGTGGTCATGGGCAAGCGGACTGGTGAGGATGGGTGCCCATGGGTGCGGTGACCCTACACGTGTCTGTGAGATGGGTGGCCTGCAAGGATGGGTGTCTTCAGGAATGGGTACCCCACAGGCATGTGCTCATAGGTCTATACTGGAGATCATGGGATGGTGAGACGGGTGGCCCTGTTGCGTGCGTGCCCATGGGTGTGAGTGGCCACTGGTGGGACTGTGGGTGCCTCGTGTATGAGCACCCATGGGTGCCCCCCTGGCTGCTGGCAGGAACACTTCAACTACTACTCTCTGGACCCTGCACTGGGCCACCTTGTCTTCTCCCTCAAATATGATGAACAGGAGCACCTCCACCTGCTGCTGCGGTGAGCAGGGCTGGGGTTACCCGTGGGTGCTGAGTGCGTGTGGACATGGCACCCTGACTCCTCTCACCTCACAGCACCCGATCCCGCACTCTGCATGATGTGGTGCCCATCTCCTGCCTGGCCGAGTTCCCCAATGTGGTTCAGATGGCCAAGGTTAGTGCCCTCCTGTCCACCAGCAGCACCTATGGGTGCCCCCCAGCACCCACTCCTCAGCACCCTGCCTCCCCCCGCAGCTGGTGTGCGAGGACATCAACGTGGACCGCTTCTATCCCGTGCTCTACCCCAAGGTGAGCACAGTGCTGGAGTGGCAGCACCCACCCTAACCATAACCCCCAACCCCCATCCCTAACCCCAACCCTAAACCCACCCTACCCCCCTCCCTAACCCACCACCCCATGTCCCCCCAGGCCTCCCGTCTCATCCTCGCCTTCGACGAGCACGTGCTCAGCAACCACTTCAAATTTGGTGTCATCTACCAAAAGCTGGGGCAGGTACCGGGGTGTGCAGCCAGGGTGGGGATCTGGGGGAGGGGATCCGGGGAGCACCCACTGCTGTCCCCACAGACCTCAGAAGAAGAGCTCTTCGGCACCACGGAAGAGAGCCCGGCATTCACCGAGTTCCTCGACATCCTGGGGCAACGGGTGCAGCTCCGTGACTTCAAGGGGTGCGTGCAGGGTGCAGGGTAGGAGCACCCCAAAGGCTTTCCCCCTCTCCCCCCCAAAAAATCCTCTCCCCTTAATGCCATGCAGCTTTCGGGGAGGGCTCGACGTGACACATGGGCAGACGGGCAGCGAGTCGGTGTACTGCCACTTCCGGGACAAGGAGATCATGTTCCATGTCTCCACCAAGCTGCCCTACACCGAGGGCGACGCGCAGCAGGTGGGGAGGTCGCGGGGTCATTGTGGGGTACAGGGGTTGTGAGAGCTGAGGGGCTGTTTTGAGGTGCATAGGGATGTTCAGTGGGGCGCAGAGGTTCCTGGGGTAGCGCTGGGTGCTGGAGGGGACATAGGAGCTGCTGGTGCCTCCTAAGTATTTATGGAGCTTTCACAACCTCATGGGGCAACCCCAGGGCCTGGGGAGCCAAGCTCATCCCCGTCTCCCTGCATTCGCACAGCTGCAGCGAAAGCGCCACATCGGCAACGACATCGTGGCCGTCGTCTTCCAGGACGAGAACACCCCCTTTGTGCCCGACATGATTGCCTCCAACTTCCTGCACGCCTTCGTGGTGGTGCAGCTGGAACCCGGCGGCCCCCAGGGGCCCCTCTACAAAGTGTCAGTCACCGCCCGCGACGATGTCCCCTTCTTTGGGCCGCCGCTGCCCGACCCCGCCGTCTTCAGGAAGGTGAGCGCCCGCGGGTGCTGCCCACAGAGGAGCCCCATTGGCGCTCACCCAGCACCGCCGCCGCCCCGCAGGGCCCCGAGTTCCAGGAGTTCCTGCTCACCAAGCTCATCAACGCCGAGTACGCCTGCTACAAGGCCGAGAAGTTCGCCAAGCTGGAGGTGCGCGCTGCTGGGGTGGAGCTGGTGGGTGCTGTGCGTGGCCTCGCTCAGGGCGCTGGGTGCCGTGCAGGAGAGGACACGAGCGGCGCTGCTGGAGACGCTGCACGAGGAGCTGCAGGGCCGCAGCCAGGCCATGCTGGGGATGGGCCCCGACGAGGAGCGCCCGGACAACGGCTCGGCTCCGGGCTTCTTCGAGTCCTTCAAGGTGGGGCCGGGAGCTGCTGGGGGGGGCGGAGCCTGATGGAGGGGGCGGAGTTATGCACGAGAGCCCCGCCCCTCCAGGGCCACGCCCCGCTGGGGCCACGCCCTCGGCTGCACCCCAACGCATGAGCACAAAGCCACGCCCCCTCGGCACACGAGGCCACGCCCCTCAGGCTCACAGTCCTTTGCTCCACGTGCCATGCCACGCCCCTTCCCTAACCCCCGCCCGCCCACCTCCCGTTGCCTGCCCTTCGGTAAGCCCCGCCCCTATACCCACCCTGCCCTCGCATAGGCCCCGACCTCCGACAAGCCCCGCCCCTCGCGTAGATCTGGTCTCCCATAGGCCCCGCCCCCGCGATGCCCCGCCCCGCAACAACGCCCCTTGCCAAGACCCCGCCCCGCTCTCGGCCCCGCCCGTGACCGTGCCGCCCCACCGCCGCTCCCTTCTCTAAGCCCCGCCCTTCTGCCCGCCCTGCCCTCCCATAGGCTGTCCGTCCCCTCCAGCCCCGCCCTTCAGCCCCGCCCCTCTCGCCCCGCCCCGATCTCGGCCTGGCCCCGCCCCTCCGGCCGAAGCCCCGTCCCTCCATTGGTCCCGCTCCCAAGCCCCGCCCCCCGGCCCCGCCCCCGCCCCTGACTCGTGCCGCCGCAGTCGCTGCTGGTGCCCGGGAGCCGCCGGGGCCGCCGTGGCAGCGCCATCGGTCTGGGCTCGGTGGAAGAGGTGCGTGGCGGGGTGCGGGGCGGGGTGAGGTGAGGTGAGGTGCGGGCTGCCCCCAGCCGGCCGCCCCGCGCTGACCGCCTCCCGCCCGCCCGCAGGCGCTGCTGGTCCCCGGGAAGAGCCCGTCCCGGCGGCGGCCCGGCCCGCTCGGCTCGCGCCGCTCCAGCGCCATCGGTATCGAGAGCATCCAGGAGGCGCCGGGCAGGTGGGGACGGGGGCGGGGGGACGCGGGTCGGGTCGGCCCCCCATCACTGCCCAACGCCCCCGCAGGGACGGCCCCGCCTCGGGCAACGACGGCAACTCCTCCGCGCACAGCTCACCCGAGAGCCGGCGGAACCCCGACAGGTCCGGCATCGGGACACGGAAACACGGACACGGGGACATGGGGACACACAGACATGGGAACGCGAGGACATGTAGACATGAGGACACAAGGACATGGGGACGTGGAAACATGGGGACAGGAGACACGGGAACACAGGGAGATGACATCGGGACATGGGAACGAGGGGACACAGGGATAGAGAGGCACAACGACACCAGGATGTGGGGACATGGGATCACTGGGATATGGGGACACAGAGGTAGGGGGATACAGGTATGGAGGGGCACCAGGATGCAGTAAGACCGGGTGCCGCATGGATGGTGGCAGCAGGATGGGGACAGGGCAGCAGTGCAGTACGGGTGCAGTGTCATACTGTCATCCAGTGGCACAGGAACTGGGCAGTATGGGGACAGGGTGGTGCAATAACATGCGAATGAGGTGGCACAGGTGCAAGGCAGCATGGGGACAGGGTGGCACTGGGACAGGCTGGCACCTGGTGACGCAGGAATTGGGTGTTGTGGGGACACAGCAGCACAGGGACGTGATTGCTGGTGGGTGCGGTGGGGTGGGGACAGCGTGGCACTTGGGTGGCACAGGGCTGGGTGGCACGGGGACAAGTCAGTAGGGGTGGGATGGGGCAGCATGGGAACAGGGTGACACCGGGGTGGTGCTGACTCAGGGTCCCATTGGCAGCCAATGACGAAGGGATGAGGCAGTGTGGGGATGGGGTGACACGGGGGGAGGGCACGTACAGGGGTCTCGGGTGGCACGGGGCCAGCTCTGTCCCTCACAGGGCGGAGAGGCCGGAGCCTCTGCAGGACTTCTCCCGCTCGTCCTCCAGTGCCAGCAGCTTTGGCAGCGTGGCCGAGGAGCCGGACGAGCAGCCCGTGGGCGAGCAGGGCAGGGTATGGGGTCAGGGGGCTGAGGTTGGGGGGGGAGAGGTGGGTGCTGGGGATGCAGTAGCACGTCACCCCACCCTGTGCCCGCAGGACAGCTGTTCATCCTTGGGGACCCCCCGGCAGCGTGACACCTCTGCCGACCCCCCCTGGCCAGAGGAGCCCCCCGGCACCCCCCCAGGTACCTGTCCCTGCAGCTTTGGGCCACTGGGCTCACCCATGGGTGCTCATGCTCCCCCCTACACAGGCAGTGCTTGCCACCCCGAGATCAAAATCCAGCTGGAGCAGCCTCCCCCAACCCCGGTGAGGCTGAGACCCCCTCCCCATGACCCTCCCATGCTCCCCAACCCCCAAACAGCTCTACAGCCCTTATTGTTCCCTGCACAGGGCTCGTAGCCGACCCCCACACCCCAGGGGGGCACCGCTGGAGGAGGGTCCCTGCTGTGCCCCCCCCCCCCGCAGTGCCCCCCACCGCTCACATCCAGGAGCCGAAGCCATCGTCCCCACTGCGGGATTGGGGCCCACCTATAGGGTCCCCCCCCCAATTCCAGACAATCTCCTTCACCCCAATGCCCCCTTTTGGGGGGGTGGGAGGGGGATGGGTACAGGGACGCGCACAGTGCAATGCTCCCCCCCCGACCCCAAATGCAGAGTGGGGCCAGACCCAGTGTGCCCCATCCAAAAAA